CAGTCCGGCCCAGTGTCCTGGCTCCGCCCCTCTGTTCACTTTTGACTATTGAGCTTTTGTCTTCTCTAGTTTTATTCCAACTATTTTAAATTTTAACACAAAATTCGGTGCACGTAAAAAAGTAAACATAAATGCACACCTACGGCTACAGCATAAATAAAGGAAAATTATTACACCTAATTTTCCACTTTTATGGACTTATGGTCGCCCTGTTACCCAACAAGTCCTTGAGCCATTTCCGTTCATGGTATGTACAATTGGGGACGGGTGTAAATTATTACGAAGTACTCCGTACTACCTATTTACATACTCCGTAATTCTTTTGGGGACTTAAGTTGTCATGCCCATTTTTCAAGACATCGCCCATAAGACTTTGTTTGTAACCACTTGTATTTAAATAAAAGCACTTTTGGGGAAAAGTGATTAGTAGTAAAAGTTGGTAGTGTTTGGTAAAATAAATGTCACGCCCCGGACCGCGTCCGTGCCACGTAGACAACCGCCGTACAACCCAATAAGAACAACATAGTTCATCCTTATCAAATCATACAAGGCGTCCGTTAAGTTCTATTGCCAAGCCGATTAGTAAACCCATACAATCAACATCAATATATATTAGTCAAACAAATGCGGAAAATAAGATATGTTTGATACTTAGCCACACGTGGCAAATACGGGCACGCAGGCCCCCAAATGTTTTAATAGAAAACATTGTTAAAAATATCCATGAGCAGTTGCATTATTTCAAATGAGAATGGAAGCACGAACCACGTCTTCCTCCTTGATCAATCACCCTAGGCAAAGGTGCAGGTAGTAGGACTCTAGCCTCAACCTGAAAAATGTGAGGGCCCCCGAAGGGGTCAGTACTCCATAGAAGTACTAGTGACAAGCAGGCTATATGAGGAATAACTAATGTTTCAGACACGAGACCCAAAAATAGGGTGATACTTATATTTATAGGTGTAACCATTGTTACCCCATTCCCAAGATAATACATACTGTATATACTTGTAAAATACTTGACCCGTAGGTCATTTTATCACAAAGAGTCTTTTAGAGGTATGGCGATTACCCAACCTTTCCCATTCATTCCTGAATGACTAGCTCACGGCTACATTCTACCTTCATAATATCCTACCGAGTTTCAGGAGTGTTTACCCTCCCGGGGATGCTCAACCCCACCGAGTTTCTGGGATTGTTTACCGTCCCGAGGATACTCAACCTCACCGAGTTTCTGGGATTGTTTACCGTCCCGAGGATACTCAACCTCACCGAGTTTCTGGGATTGTTTACCGTCCCGAGGATACTCAACCTCACCGAGTTTCTGGGATTGTTTACCGTCCCGAGGATACTCAACCTCACCGAGTTTCTGGGATTGTTTACCGTCCCGAGGATACTCAACCTCACCGAGTTCTTGGGATTGTTTACCGTCCCGAGGATACTCAACCTCACCGAGTTTTGGGATCATTTACCGTCCCGAGGATGCTCAACCTCAACCTTATTTCTAACCAAACCCTAACCTGGATATGGCTAACCTTTCATTCACTTAACTATGGACAATACCTAGTCCTATAGTCATATAATAATCCTTAGTAACCAACGTGGACGGGTCCCACCTGATCGGTCCACGTTATCCTACTCAAAAGCTACCCGTTTTGAGTATAAACCAATACCCGGTCGGGTATCCACCTTACCCGGTCGGGTAGGACGGGTCAGAAGCCCCTGGAAACAACTTTACTTGAGACCCGGTCGGGTCCATGACCTTACCCGGTCGGGTCTAGAGTGGCAGTGGCTTCTGGAGCCATTTTTAATCAATACCCGGTCGGGTATTTACCCATACCCGGTCGGGTATCACCCTTGTCTCGGCGGTCAACGCCCGTTTGACCGCCCAAACGAAGTCCGATTAACGTGAAATTTTATATGCATATTCTACTTGAAGTCCTTGATCCAAAAATACCATTTTTGACCCCTGGATCATTGTACATAATAAGTTATCACATTTTTAATCACCAAACATACAAAACATGCCTTTCAACTTTGTTTTATATATAATCATGGCATAAGCCCATACTTGATTAACTTTAATCATTCCGTAAAACATATCCTTGATTACTTTAGGTAATCTCATGCCTCAATCAAAAGTTATAAAGCATATAGCCGTCTTCTCACCTTAATGAAGCTTATGAAGTTCTAGCCTCCCCGATTTGGCCCCGGTGAAACTCCGGTGAACTTCAACTAACTCCGGCGACAACTCCGGCGACCCTTTCAACCCCGTGAAAGTTCTTGAAGTACCTTATAGAAGTTAATAACAAGGTTTTATCATCATAAAACCCATATCAATACAAATAACCTCAAAAAGGTTATTTTCCGGAGAAACGGTCAACTTTGTTCTCTAAATCCGTTTTGGACATGAATCAACCTTCCAACCCTTCATTCTTCACATATAACATGTAGAATGATCCTAGGGGTATGAAATATGATTAAATAATCATATTTGGAAGATTAAGGAAGAGGAATGAGATTAATGGAGTTATTACCTTGTAAATCCTCAAGTTTTCCTCCTTCTTTCTCTTCTCTTTCCCCTCCTTCTTCTCCTTAAGCTTTGGTTCGAGTATGGTGGATGAAAATGGAGTTTCTCCAGACCTTATCTCTCCTCTTTGAGTGTCTTGGTCGAGCCTATGAGTTTAGGGGTGATGGAGAATGCCTTTTTGGCATTTCTCTCAATAATACCATGGCAAAGGCCCACCCTCCTATTGATTGGTCTCCCAATCACTTCCTCCTTGCTTCTCCATGTGGTGTGTGCGGCCCTCTTTGACATTTGCAGCACCCAAGTCGTGGGGTGGTCCCCACTTATGTGGGAGATCATCCCTTTGAGTCTCTAAGTGTACACTCGGTCCCGAAAGTTGTATTTTCCGGACTGTTTTAACTGTATTTCATTTTATCGGGTAAAATGAAATATCTATCATTCTTCCAACCATTATTGGATTTTAGAATGAATATATACTCCCCAACTTTTATTTTAGCGGTCTCCATAATTTATTATGACGTTTATCTGTCAGTACATCCGGTACCGATAAATGGGCTTTATATGCACAACTGGCCAACACACATGGTTTATAACTTTATATGGCCCAACATGGACATCCACCATCGTATACATATTATCTAGACTGAGATGAATATAATATGTGGTCCCGATAATATCGGACGGTCCCCACCCCTGGTGTGGGCCCCACGTGAATTTTACTATCCACGTAAAAGAATGATAAAAATCACAATCGCGTAAATATGAGTTTATTCATTCCGCATGGTTCAGTACATGACTTGATAGAATACAAATACTTGGGGGCGGTGTTACAATAAATGCTTTTTGTGTAATAGAAAAAGTAAAAAGTAGATTCTACACGGAAGCCGAGAAAGTAAAAGTTGATAGTGTTTGGTAAAATAAGTGTTTTTTTCTTAAAAAAAAGTTAAAAGCACTTTTTTTAATGAATTGCAAACAGACCCTAAATGGGTTACCCATAAATGTCAACTCCATACTTCTTGCCACTACCGTATTTTTTTTTCGGAGAACACTACCCAAATTAATTAAGAAAATGGAAAGTTGAGGTTACAAGAGAACGATACAGCTAGATAAAAAACATACATTCGAAGGTAGAAATTAAATAAGAAAAACAGGGATTTAACAATTGAAATTCTTTGAAGGTATCCCAACAGGTAGGAATGTATCTGTTGTATTTGTAATGGAACTGGATTGCCTTTCAGAGGTATGGTTGATAGAGTTTAGCTTTCGGGTGAGAAGACTTGTATTGCCGAAGGGACGTAACAAGTTTGTGTGGAGAGTTCAACCTTGCATCAATTGGGTAGATGTAATAGTCATCTTCATGTTGAGGATGTCTGGACTGTCTTCCTGTGACCATGAGGTGCGAAGTATAACCCACCTCGTAGAAGAGTTGTCTACCTTCAAAAGTTCCGTTTTGGTTCTTCATGCCACTATCGTATTAATATGTTTGGGTATCCATATGTTTGGTTCACCAAACACACCTACCATGCACCTTGCATACGTTAAATAATTGAGATTGATTCAATTATTTATAGTGCACTACCCACACAGAAATCGTTAATTTATAAATGATTGATTCTATCATTATAATATTATATGAAATTCAAAAATATTCATTCGAACATAAATGATGGGATTTTATAAATACGGAGTCTGTGTGTAATATTACTTTAGGTTAGAAAAAATAGGTTAGAAAAACATAAAGGTTGAGAGGAATGCATTATAATTGAAGACACTTAGATTTGAATAGAATGAATAATATTCGAAAATTTAAATCTTTGAAATTCTAAATCAAGTACATTGATGATTGATTGGATTTTAAAAGAGAAATTGCTCAAAGTAGAAGTAAATAGGTTTTCAAATTCTAAAATATGACGGATATGTTTTTCTTCTTGAAATAGGAGTCGTTACTCTCATAATTGAAAAATACTTTCATTAATGACAATAAATACTATTATGTTTAATACCTAATATTGCAACTATTTATCAATAATGACTAATTGACTACATAGTGTTTTTTTGGAATTCCAAAACTTGTTTAGTCCTATTTCGGGAACTTTCTAATTTTAAAATCATAAAATTCATTATTGATAATTCTCCTCTATGGAATTTTGTCCCTAACTACAGTAATTATTGTTATGATTGAAAAATATTGTCAATCCTCGCATAAATATGTCATTAGCTCTATTAATGTCAATATATGACAATATGAGATCGTGATGGTAGCAATTTACTTTTATTAGAAAAATAATATACTACTCCCTCCACCTCATAATTAAGTTCTCACTTGTTTTAGGGATGGTCCATATTAAAGTTCATGTTTATATTTTAGGAAAGTTTTTGTTTTGTGTTTCTCAAATTGCTCTTCACTTTTAACATTATCTACCCACTTAATCCCCTACCCAGTTTTGACAATTTGCCCCATACCAAGTTATTCCCCTACGCACACCGTCTCTCTCTCTCTCTCTCTCTCTCTCTCTCTCTCTCTCTCTCTCTCTCTCTCTCCACGCCTTATCTTCTTCCCTCCTCTTGAACAATCTTCTTTGTCATCTCTCTGCTCGTTGTTGCTTCCCCTTCCTTCTCCTCATCGGCGTCCTCTATGTTCGTTGTTGCCTCTCCTTCTTTCTCCTCACTGACGCCCTCTTTGTTCGTCTATGTATCATGTTTCCTCTATTCGGTCCTAGTCTCTTGTAATGGATAATTTGGTCAGTGGATCCACCAAAATTCCGTTATTAGATGGTGGATCTGAATCGCCAACTCCTCACCCGGTGGATCCGCCTCTACCATTATAGATCTGAAACCATGTCCTGAATCAGATCTAAAACTTCCATTTAGAATGTTCATCATTCATTTTGGACTGGAGAGTTCATCTGATACGGATCCAGAATGGTGGTTGCATAAGAAATACGATGTCAACCTAGTTTCTAATACGTATGATGGGTTGGTGGGTTTGGAGGAGGATTCCGGCAAAGAAGTGAGCTTGGCATCAGTGAGCGAGGAAGAAGATGTTGAGACAGGAAGCGAAGTGGAAGGGACAGATGAAGGTCTCCGAAAGAGGGGTAGGCTAAACTTTGCACGTACTAATCTGACAACACGCATTAAGGACAATAAACATATGCTTTCTTTATCTCTTCATTTATGTGTTTATTCTGATTTTGTGGGAATTGCCTTCGTGTGTGAAGTCTGTTGGCCAATGTTTGTAACTCGTGATGAATTCGGGCTTGTTTTATATAATGAATGATGGTCCTCTATGATTGTTGTTAGCCAATGAATTGTGAATGATGTGTAACCATTACATTTAATTTATGCAAACCACAATTTGAATGTGCAGGGGTATTTATGTAATGGCTATAATGCAGGGGCTAGAATATGTGCACATTGTGTGTAAAGCGTAAACATTTGTGTGAAGTTGATTGCATTGCCAACTGTGCTAAATTAAAAGTGTACACAAATAATTTGGGGGTACTTTAAAAAATAGTACTCTCATGGGTGTAGAAGTACAAAAAAAAAAGTACACCACCTAGTTAATCTACATCTAGTGTACTAATAAAAAATTGATGTGTTTGTTGCCATTTGTGCTTCAGTTGCTTAAGTTGACAATATACTAGAAGTTGATCTTAAGTTGTTGTGATATGATTAGTTCAAACCTGAAGATTCTCTTGATCTTCATGTATGAACTGATTCCCTTGAGATGTGTTTGTTGCCATTTGTTCTTCTATTACTGCCTTAGCTGTCTGGTACAACTCTTGAGTGATTTGGACATTTGTAGGAAACATACCTCGTCTCTTCAGTTTGTCCTTCCCAACATGCTTCAGCTTGAAATTGTTGCCCCCACTGTGTTTTATGATTTCTTCCATCACGTACTGATGACTGAGAAATACCCTGTTCAATGTTTGTGGTGTAAGCTCATTAAAAAATGTTTGCATTGCATGTATTAGGTCCATTATGTTTCTTAGGGCCGTTTGATCCTTTATGCAATAATTTCCCTAAAAACCCCAAGTCCAATACATTTAAATCAGGACTGTTGGGTGGTTGACATCTAAGTTGAATGTTCCAGCATCTTTTGTTCCCGATTTCACAAAATATGGGTCTTTAACATCAATATCACACACACACATGAGGTCTAACATTGTCTTGTTGTATGATAACTAACTTATCTGCTGATTGTGGCCACTTGTGTTTGATTGCTGCCTATTGGATCAATACACCCCTTTCGACAAACTTCTCAGTGGGTCACCCATATCTTTCTTAAAATCAAGAGTAAAATCAATTGGTGATAAGGAAGTGGACACCCTCTATTTAACTCATTACTCTGTAGTCGCCAAGTCAAGGTAGATTCATGTGGGTCACCCATCCTTAGGCTTTCTTAACCCAGGATTGCTTAACTACAGAGTTCTATGGTTAAATAGTACTCATATCTTTCTTAAAGCCAATTGGTGATAAGAAAGTGGACACCGTCTATTTAACTCATTACTCCGTAGTCCCCACAGTTCACTACAGCGGTGCAGCGCCCTACTACTGAGCGGTGGATGGACATGAGGGCCGGGCTGCACCACATCGTGGTACCAACAGGTTGGGCGGTTAAGCCCTGAATCAAAGTGTGGTGCTGATCCCCCATAAGATCAACAATGGCACTATCTTGTTCAACATCATTTCTTTAATGACTGGCCTAGTAATGCTTAATGTGGTCTTAGTTTCTAAGGTTCCAGCAGGCCTATTCTTCCTGGGTCTCTTTGTTCTATCTTCATATGTGAAAGGGAAAATACCTATTTCCCTATCCCACAATACATCCCCATTGCTTGCTATATATCTTGACCTCCCAACACCAGCAATGAACATTATTTTAGGGATAAACTTCTTTGACTGGGTTGTTGTATATATATCAGGCTCTGTAGGAATAGAGTATAAAATGTGGTGATCTCTTTTGACAAGTAGAAGCACTTTCCATTGATGTGAATGTAGTCATAAAAATCATGAAGTGTTGGGGAAAAGTGGACGGTTTCAGGCTTTATATGGCTTAAACAGAAATCTAATCTCTTCATTTTCCCAGCTTCTGTTAACAATGGCTTGATTCCATTTGAGTGCCTTCTTGTCTGCTTACTTTTAAATCATCCCTACACAGTTGAATTTGAAACCTTCATTGCAAAGACCAATGATCTCATATTGTATCTTTAGTGTAAAGGAATTTCTTCAATTTGCTACATATCAAAAGTTACTCTTTTTGGCCGTACATTTTCTTTCCACCTACTTTGCACATTGATGGCATCTCAACTTTGCATTTGCTCCTTTGCTTTTTACCACAATTTTTGGACTGTCTAAGGAGATATGTTAAAATCATTGGTTAACTTAGTTATAATCCCCCTCCGAAGTTTTCCCTCACAAGCATGGCCCAACAGATTTTCAATGATTCGACTTCTGTCTTGTGGTGACAACTTAGGCCATTTTTTAATCATACATAAAAATTTGTAAAGTTCAATCGAGAACTTGAATACGGAATGAAGGCAGTACTATACTTAAGCAGGTTATGACTACTATCTCTAGTGATGGGGAATACTACTTACTATTCTTGGGGTGGGAATTTTTTCCTGAATCCCGACTCCTGATCCCGACTCTGATCCCAATAATCCTGATATTCCCTGATCCCAACAATCTCGATCTCGACTAGTCGGAAATTTTTTCTGATCCCGACTAAGTTGGGACGGGACCGGGATATTTTTAAGAAGTCGGGATCAGGAGAGTCTCGACATCCCAACACTATATATATGTATATATATATAATTATATATGAATATATAAAAAAATGAATATATATTTACAAAAAATAAATATGTGTCTAAATATTAGCACATTTATTTTTTAACTTACGTATTCCTCACATAGATGAATCTTTTATGTTACAGTATCAAACTTCTAACTTGGACAGGAGCAGAGGATTTCAATCTTCAATTTGTAGCTTGACTTCTTCATCTCACCATGTCAACGAGAAAGAACAGAGAGCCCAAGGAGGAGACTGTTACCCTCGACCCAACATTAAGGGATGGGGAAAAGGTGTTTGGTGTTGCACACATTTTTGCGTCATTCAATGATACTTTCATTCATGTTATTGATTTATCCGGAAGGGAAACCCTTGTTCATATCACTAGTGGCATGAACATGAAGGCTGATAGAGATGAATCCTCTCCTTATGCTGCTATGCTTGCAGCACAAGATTTGTCACATCGGTGCAAGGAACTTGGCATCACTGCACTTCACATCAAGCTCCGAGCTACATGAGGGAATAAAACAAAAAACACCTGGACCTGGTGCCTAATCTGCCATGAGAGCCCTTGCTCATCCAGGCATGAAAATTGGCCGTATAGAGGATGTTACTCTAATCCCCACCGATAGTACCCGCAGAAAGAGTGGTAGAAGAGGATGAAGGTTTAAGTCCCTCTACTTTTGTTATGTGGTTTTGATGGCTAAATGCACTTGTGCTTTATGCCTTTATTTGATTATCTCGACAGCAGTGGAGAATGCTTTCTGCCATTTCCCCTATCTTTTGATGCTCTGTTGTGATTGAACAATTTGATCTTTCTTAATTTGTATTACCAAGTCATCTAAAAAATATATCAAACTTCTAAAAACTATTCGACATTCGTCCCAAATTGAATATTCTGGATCCTAACTAAATAGAGATTATTCTTGATCTCGACAATCTAAATTACAATATATTACAATTTTTGCGTTTTTGATGAACTCTTTAAAAAATTATGAGCGAGACTAAGATTTCTTTTTTTAGTAAATAATCATAATATGTATTTATACATTATATTCATTGGTCACAGAGTTTCTCAATGAGTCTACTTAGTTTTGATTTTTAAATAATATACATTACACATCCTTCTTTTAGTGAATTTTTATATAAAACTTCAAGTAAGTTTCACTAAGTCTTGACAGCTTATTCAAAAATACACCATCCGTGATAGAACGGAAAATCGGAGCCGCAAAACTCCATAACTCATCCAGCCGCGAGCGAGAATGAAAGAACCCTAGCCGAGTGTCGCCCTTCGGATCGATCGATCGCTGAAGGGATGATTACCGGCGTTTCTGAGTTCATTTATCTTCTGCTTCAGGTTGCCTCTCATCGTTTTCTTTATTCTGTTTTAGTTTCTTCGTTCTCTTCGTTTGAGTTGCTGTCACGAGCTTTGTGCTCGTTTTCTGGTACGGCAATTTGTCGTCGAAGTTGTTTCCATCTGCGTTCCTCTGTGGACGATTTTGTTTGGTTGCTGGTTTTTTGATTGAAGGGGAATTGTCTTCCAGTTTCTGCTAGAAATCAAGTAGTGGGATAAAGGCTTTAATTTTTTTTAGCCACTGTGTAGAAGCTTCGGTGTTGGTTTCATTAGTTTAGTTGTATATTGATTTATTAAATTTTGACATCCACCATGGATACGCTTGTTGGGCCGTATAATAAAATCTCTATTGCTGAGAAGGAAAACAGGGGTTTAGTCTTGAAAGCAGGCCCGGTCGGGGTTAATGGAGAAGTTGAGGGGGGAATCTATTTCTTAGCGATGGCAAGGGTGGTTACAGATAAATCTGTCCGGCCAATTTCTTTTCGTGAATTTATGGCCACGGTTTGGAGGCCGGTTCGGGGTGTCACTATTGAAGAGATTGGTACTTTTAAATTTCTTCTTCAGTTTTATCATGAAGCAGACATTAACCGCGTAGTCGAGGAGGGTCCTTGGTCTTTTGACCAGAATTTAGTAGTGATTCGGCGCTTAGGGTGTACTGATAGACTTTCTAGAATGTCCTTGGACTGTGCAGATTTTTGGGTACAGGTTCATAATTTACCTTTGGGGTATATGACGGCTAAAGCTGCCCGTGGAATTGGAAACAGCATAGGGAAGTTTGTCAAAGTAGATGAGCGTTCTCTTGGGGGTAAACACAGATTGATCTTGCGCATAAGAGTTACAATTAATATTAATATAGCTTTGGCTCGAAGATTGCAGGTTAGACAAGAAGGAGATAACTGGACATGGGAAGATTTTAGATATGAGAGACTTCCTAAATTTTGTTATGTATGTGGTTTACTCGGCCATATTGACCGTTTCTGCCTATCTAATTTACACAACTGTCACTGGACCGGGGAGAAGCCATTTGGGTCATGGCTACGTGCTGATATGAGACGGTGTGGAGGGCATCCAGGGAACAGGTGGTTAATACCCAAGCAGGGAAAGGTGGAAAGTGTGTGCAACTCGAGAGGAGATATGGTAACCTCGGGTAGCTATGTGGTACAAGGCTTAACCTCCAATGGTGAGGAGGTAATGCATCTGAAGGAAAACCACAAAAAATGTAGGGCGGTAGAAGTGGCCATTGAGGAGGACATCCAAGAAAATAGAGATGAAAAACATGTGAGTAGAGAAGAAGTGGCGGTTGACTCTATCAAGTCAGTGATGGGGGACCTCTATGACAAAGAAGATGAACCTTTGGCGGTGCCTGGACAAACCGCACTTTCCTTACCAGTGGCTGGAAAAACTGGATCTCATTTTTCTTTGTATTGCTCTTTTTTTTCTTCAGAACTCTTTAGTTACTTTTAGTATTCATTCTAGTAGCAGGTGCAGCAGTGCTGTTAGTGGAGTCTACCATCTTGTGGGGTTAGCGAGTTGGGTCGTTTTTCAGCGATCTTCCAACTCTATGTCCCATCCCAGTGTAGTAGCCTTTAATGTGGCGGCTTTGTATCCGGTTCTCGATTTCAATATGAATTAAGTTATCTGTTTTCAAAAAAAAGCTTATTCAAAAATTATACTATTACTTAATTGAAGTTATAAATAAAAATTATTCTAAAAGTACGTACTACTGTGAATTTTGATGATAATATTATGACTAAATTTTATAAGTAGATGATGATAAATATGATATATGCTAATGAACAATGAATAATGTTGAAACCACTAAATATCAAAGTTAGTGTTTAACTAAAGAAATTAAATAATTTCATGTTTGATACTTCATTGTCGAGATTAAGCGGGATTCCCGATCAGGAACTCGACTTAATCGGGTTTTTAATGTCGGGATATCGATTTAACTGGGAGAGGATATGAGGACGGAATCCGGATTTTGGCAATCGGAATCGGGATTATCCCGATCGCACCCCTACTTACTACAACAAAAGACTAGAAAACGAAAAAAAATAGAGGAAGTGAGTGAAAGTTTGATCGTCAAGGAACTGTATTTTTTGTACAAAAGGGAAAGAATAGCGGTATTTCATTACGGCGTATGGTGGACATACGTTTAAGATAGCAGGCGAGTAGTGGCGGGCCCTTTGCCCATATCTAGTTTGACCACGGAGTATTTCTTTACTTGTGATTTCTTGACTTGTTCAGCAATATACGGTCTAAGGGTCAATCGTCATCATCATCCTCCCACTTGAAACAGGAGAAATTTCACCTATCACAGAAATCTCTCTCTAAAACCACCATCGTAGAGAGAGAAAGCAACCAGAACCGAAGAAAAATAGAGGGAGAGAGAGAGAGAGAGAAAGAGGAATGTGTCCGCTCAGAATCATTCTCATCTTCCTCTCTGCAACGCTTGCCGGATTCTTCGTGCTTCGCAACATCAAATCTTCGCCTAATGCCGCCGAAAACAACGGCGTTGTCGATGAATCTTCGGTCAAAGCTCCCACCAACTCATCCTCTCTGAGTTCCAAGGTATTGTTGATTTTGTTTCTCTTCATTATAATTCACCTTACGCCATTTTTTTCCCCGATTCATCTTCATCTAACATCGGTGCTAAATAATTCGAAATTGTTTGGCAATTTTAGGTATCCGGTATCATTCGGGAAGGATTTTGGACTGGTGTGGACATGGCGAGCGGAAAATATCTCTGGAGGCATTTGGTTTCCTCGAATCAGAAGCGCATCGACTGATCATCGCAATTGAGAATTCGAATGTAACAATTTCTCTTTGATATACGTAATAGATCCCGTTTTGTTTCAGAGATTCGATAAGTGGGGTTATTGTATGTACAATTACTGTATGTATAATTGTGGATTTGATAATTGCCAGCAATCTCAAGATCTGGTTGTCAATTTCCATGTAAATTAAATAAATCATTCCTCTGTACTCTGTGGTCACACTTACCCTTTACTTGGTTATTTGGTATCAGAACCTTGGATTAAACATAATTTATGTTAAGAAGTTGAAAACTGGTAGTGCTTAACATGCCAATTTTGTTTGCAGCTGATTATATCTATGCATAGATTTCATTATATCTTCTTATCATTAATTACTTCATAGCTATCATATTGAGAGAAGTAAAAACATGCATAAGGTATCCACTATTATGCAGTCTGTTTGCGCTAATATAAGAATGTAAATCGGTTAAATCCTTGATGACAGTAGATGATAAATGACTTTTCTATATCCTTTCTCAGAGTTAGTAACATACGTAGTAGATTCAAATTCAGTGTGTTATGGATTTAGGCATCTTACATGGAAAAGGTATACTCCGTATATGGTATATCCGGTGTGTTAAAGATTTGTGGTGCTTGTTCATTCAAACATGATCGTTACTTATATTGCCCAGAATTATCAAAATTTGTACTTTCTGATGTTAAATTTATAGCCTTTGACAAGTTATCTGAGCAAGATTAAATTTTAAAATCATTCCATTTTCAATAACGATGTCAGAGGAGAATGTTTCTAAATTTAACTGTTTTCCGGGTTGTTATGTTCTTCCACTATTTCTCATACTAGGGGTGTATTGAATATGGATTGTGGTAGACTTTTTTTAATCCGTGGACTTCTAAAAAAGTCTATGGACTTTTAAATCCATAGACTTTTAATCTGCTGACTTTTGAATCTGTAGACTTTTAAATTCGTAGACTTTTGAATCTGTAGACTTTTAAATGAATGACTTCTATGGATTTCAATAAATCCAGACTTTTACTTGGACTTATTTCAGATCAAATCCAACTAGACCAGACTTTAACAAAGCAAATCAGACTTTAATAAATAAGAATTGCTACATAGAAAATATGACAAATATAATAGCTAATGTTCTCTATTCCGAATGAGGTCAAGCATAAGCATTAAAAAATATAAGAAAAAAATAATGTCATCAATGCACAAAATGGGAACAAACGTCTTGTGCTACTAAACTAGGATCAAAATTATTCATTTTATGCAGCTGCCCACATTTGAGTAGCAAGATTCATCCTTCATTCATTGGCTGTTTCCCTCTGTTGATCTTGTATCTGAAAATTATCCCATTCAAGATTGTCCTCATTATCGTTAGGTGGGTCTTCTTCTGGGTCCGGAGGAAATTCGTCAGATCGACATTCACGTTGAAGAAAATTATGTACTCCTGCACGCTGTTTTGAAGATTGTGAAGTGTGACTTAAATATTTCAAGAATTGATAGTGCATAAATTGTTAATAATTATGCTACTTGAATAGTTGAATCCTACTTATAAGTAAAGGTTGAAATTTAGATTACCATGTAATGTAATTCATCAAAACAAAGATAACTTTGGATTAAAGCAATGCCTCTAACAAATCTGTTTGTAGGCATAATATGAAAAAAAAAAAAAAAAAACTTCAAAATTCGAAAAAGGATATCAATCAATGTTTATGCAATCAATAGTTAACCAACCGGTATAATTTTAATCACTTTTTAAAGTTATGAAGTTAATATGTGTTTATCTAAACAAAAGAAATAATCCATTTAGGAGAAATGATTGAAGTCATAGAATGATTTAATTAGAAATAACTATCTTAAAAGTCATATAAGTCAATTGCTTCATTGCTTGACTCGGCTAAAATGAAAAAAAAAACCCATATCTCTTCCAATGTGAAATGTGTATATTATGCAGTGTTTTAGGTTAGTGTTTTTTAACAACTGATGAGATTTTACAACTGCGATTGAAAAGTCAAATAAAACCAAACCATTATTATCTACTTCTGTTCCAACTTATGGGTTGTAAATTTATACGAGTTGAAATCTTATCCTTGTTAACGTTCCTTGTTAATGGTTCACACAATTCCGGATTTCAGCGTCAGTTTTAACATTCTGTTCATCAAAATTAATAGGGAAAAGGTGCAAATAGGCCCTTGTACTAACCAAAAAAGGTCACACCCTTATTTAGGAGGTTCTGTCCGGCCGTCGCCATTTGGGGTGGTTCCTGGTAGAATTTTTTGATGAAATTTTTTGAGCATCTTATTCATTAAGTCTAGTTTAGTCATACCAAGTTTCAGCTAAAACTTCAATCAGGAAGGCATTCAAATGAATTCTTGAAGATAATTACACTTTTAACTGCGCAGTCATCTTCAAGAATTCATTTGGATGTCTTCCCGATTGAAGTTTTAGCCTAAATTTGGTATGAGTAAACTAGACTTAATGAATAAGATGCTCAAAAAATTTCATCAAAAAATTCCACCGGGAACCACCCCAAATGGCGACGGCCGGACAGAGCTTCCTAAATAAGGGCTTATTTGACCTTTTTTGGTTAGTACAAGGGCCTATTTGCATCTTTTCCCATATTAATAAAATACTAGAAAGATTGACATGATCGAATAAGTTATAACATTACAATAAACTTTCTATCATTTGTGAAAACATTCTGTTCATAAAGAAATACGAAGTAGATTATATCGGCCAAAGGATTCATCCAAACAGACTAGGGAAACAAAAATTCAGAGGCCCAACCTCATGGATGATGGGTGCCAAATTAAAAATATATTCAAAACAGGTTTCCATAATCATTTATGAAAAGAAGCAATCCGCTGACAGTTTGGAGTCACGGAGTATAAATGAAGAGAAACTATTCGCGAACAGTATAAATGAATGGAGAACAAATATTAGAAAAGAGTAAAAGAAGAGAAGAAACTTACCTGGAGTTTTTTTGGAGAGGCGGTTGTTCTTGGCGAGGCGAGCAAAAGAAGAGGAGAAGAGAACCAAGGGAGAAAGTCTGCGTGAAATCTCTACGGGAAGCACGAGACAATTGACCAGAACGATTGTATATATGAGTAGGTCTAAAGTCCATGAAAATCCATTATTTTGTAATTCCACAAGATTTGTTAATATATTTTGAATACACCCGTACTTTTATTGACTTTTAGAAATCCTAATTGAATACACCTGTATTTTTATGAACTTTTAAAAATCCTAATTGAATACATCTAGATTTCTAAAATCCACGGACTTCTAAAATTTTACCACTAAATCTCAATACAATACATCCCCTTAAATGTCTTAGCGGGTACATTCATTTGTTTTCATAGTTTCAGTTTGTAAGATCATGACCTTGTTCTGGTTTTATATCGTTTGGGATATCCCGTTGTGCCCAAGGCCCCAAGTAGTGTCCTAAGGTCTGCCTTAAATTTGTGATCGAAAAAAGAGAAAATTGATGGAATAAGAGTAAAATAGTTTTTGAATTTCAAAATAAGAGTATTATATTTTTATTTTTTAAATATGAGTAAATAATTTTCCAAAAAATAGGAGTAAATAATGTCAAGTTCGAAAAGTATTGTCATATTTAAAGCATGCTAATGCCAAACTATAACAATAATTACTCCGCAAGGGATTAAAAATAATTAAATATGGTAGTCTTATTTTGGAATTCATAAATATTTGTACTTCCGTGTAGGACAATTTCTTAAAAACTAAATTTGTCTCACACTCATAACATTCGAGTGGTTGTAATGGATGCTTATTGTCACGCCCCGGATCTACCCGGACACGTCAACAATCCGCCGTACAGTACGAATAGTCAACCGCTGTCCAACACATCCATAATATACAAGGCGTCTGGAATATCATTCACACATAGTACATCCATAAACAAACATAATGTAAAATATTCATTCAAAGCAGCAGAAACATTCAATACAAGTGTTCATGCCACACCTTGGCAAACATGGGCATACAAGCCCCCAAATAAATATTTAAAAATAATATCCATGAGCATTAATTTAAATAGTTTGTAAAAATGGAAACGGAGGAAGCACGAACCACATCTTCTCTCCTTGGATCCTCCGAAAGCAACGGCGATGGTAGCAACCTTTAAGTTCTACCTGAAACCAGGGGCGGATCCAAGAATGAGGGGTGGGGTGGGCTAAGCAGTAAATTTTTTTGTTATTGCATACAAAAGGTTTAGCTTAGGACTGATAGTTATTGAACTGAGTTTTTTTTCGAACTACTCGAGTTCGATCGTGATTTCGAATTTAATTTAAGGCCTTTTTATTTGAATATTACTAACGGATGGACAAAAGACAACAACATGACTATATTTCAAGTTTCCCACAAAAGTGACTAAGTTTATCATTTATACCCTTTTTAATTCCATATTTCATTTATTACTTTAAAATACAATTTTTATATCAAGTCAACTACTGCTGCCATCAAGCCTCGTTCCACCCACTGCAGGTCTGCCCTCACCCCCGCCGCATGTGCTCTGCCCTTGCCGTCGATTTTCCGCCTCCACCGCCGATTCTCCGCCTCCACCACCGATGATAGTGACTACCCTTAATAGTGACTACACTACCGTTGCTCAGTGACTCACTTCCTCAGTGACCCCGCTTTCCCATGGTGACACAGTGACTACACTATCGTTGCTCAGTGACTCACTTCCTCAAGGGTCCACTTTCCCATAGCAACGCAGTGACTACTGCGATAGCTATGCAGTGACTATTGCGATAGCGATGCAGTGACTCCATAGCCACACCACACATCCGTTGCCGAACTCCACTACACCACGCCAGCATCATCCACAGTGACAACATCTATCGTTGCTCCACTACAAAACATCGACATCAAACCCACAACCGGTAGTGATATCAACCAAAACAGAGTCTAATTACATAGAGTCAAATTGTGACTGATTTTTAAATCAAATTAAAGAAGAAGAAGAAAAGAGGAGAAGAAGAAGATGGTGTCGAAGGGAAGAAATCGTGTCAAACGACCTTCGATGAAGAAGAAATCATGGCTTACAACACTTGATGATGAAGAAGTCGTTAAAAGTCTGCTAGCGTCAGCTGGTTTGCGTCGCCGCCGCATCAATCGAAGATGTCTAATGAACTTGCCGCCATCCAATAGATATGCCTGCTGCCGCCGCCGCCACCTTTGAAGAGATCCGCCTGCCGTCGCTGTCACCTTCGAAGAGATCCGCCGCCGTTGAAGAGATCGTTTACTGGGTTGAAGGAATATTTCGTTGGTTGGAGGTTACGAGTGGAGTTTGATTGACATTAGGGTTGAGAAGGCCGATGAATTATATTGGGGTAGTTGAGACATTCTACACCCTCTTAAGTCACTTTTTCGTCCAAGATAAAAACGGATAACGTTTTTGTACATACAAACTCTATTTGTAATATCTAGGCCATTATTTCTTAATTTAATGACCAAAGCTTAATGAGCTTCAATCTCGAACACGGGTTAAATTTTAGTTTAAATAGTTTGTTTTTACAAAAAAACGGCTGTTATTTTTTTGAGTTTGAATAGTTATTCAAGCTGAATTCGAGCATAGTCACATTCAGTTCGATCTGGACTCGAGCATATTCATAACTTATAAATTATAGAAATAAACTATATACTACCTCCGACTTTTATTAAGACTAATTTGACTTTTCAAGTCAAAGAAGTTAAACTCTGAATGACTATATATTTATACAATAAAATTGATAATATGAAAATGAAATGGAAATGTTCTTTGTTAAAAGTATAAATTTAGTAAGTTTCACATTAATACATGAGTTAAAATGATGGATCAAAGGTTACCATCTTTGGGTAAAGAGTCAAAGATGGCTAAATAAAATGAGACAGAGATAGCATATCTAAAATTTAAACGTTTTTAGTGTGATTTATAATTTTATTATTGATTATTAAAGATTTTAGTATTTATTGATATGAATTAAAATACTTCTATAAAAGTATAAAATTAATAAGTAAAAATAGTCGATGTACATAAAACTAATAAGTATTCCCAATTTTAAAATTGACTTGAGATTTTGAATCTATTCTTACATGCCTAAACAGTAAATACATCGTTCTCTATTCTTTAATTGCATTATAAAAATATCATTTTCTAATCTTTAATTCTATCTTTAATCATTATAGATTTATAATAATAAATAAAAACTATTTTACTATCTACTGAAAAAATTCAATTAATAATCAAATAGAATTACAAAGTTGGTAGGCTTGGGTTGGGCTAGACATTAGTTTTGAGGTGGGCTGGAAATTAAACTTATACCTATAATAATAAAAATAAATTGGGCTGGGCTGGGCTGGAGCCCACCCCTGCCCCAACATAGATCCGCCCATGCCTGAAACTGTGAGGTGGCGTCCCCCGTGAAGGGGAGGTCAGTACTTGGAAGCATTTGACAAGTACAATGACAACTATACCAAGTATAATCAAAGTTTCAATTTCCAAGACCCTCAATCTAGTATGTTATGATTTTATAATTACTCATGTTCCTTCATGCTAGAGCTCGGCTCATAGTCATACTAAATTGTGCTAGAGCTCGGCTCATAGTCACACTACATTTTGCTAGAGCTCGGCTCATAGTCATACTACATTTTGCTAGAGCTCGACTCATAGTCATACTACATTTTTGCTAGAGCTCGACTCATAGTCATACTACATTTTTGCTAGAGCTCGGCTCATAGTCATACTACCACGTGCTAGAGCTCGGCTCATAGTCACGTCATCTAATCCTAAACAATTTCTTAGTCTAGGCTCCATCCAATTTGAGTAACCCTTAAGGCCTACTCCTAAAGTAATTTGGGTTCATAAAGTTCACCTTAAAAATATCCTTTATGGTTACTTAGCTCCAATATCTTGGGATTAGCCCCAAAGACTATTGAACTAACATTTCCGACTAGTAATTCTATACTAGTCGTTTAGTCTTAATATAACCAATGCAAATTCATAATAGTTCGTATATTTCAATTTTATTCCACATTCAAGTATTGTTTGGCTCTAATATCAAAATATCACTTTGATCCCTCCATGACTCCTTCACATGAGGTAAAAGTATATTTATCACAATGAACACTCATGATTAATACAACTATCATGCCATTTTATTCATAACACATAATCATACACAATTTATTCGTAAATTTGTATATTATGCCTTTTCACTTATAAACACTATTAATTTCATTTAGGCACTTTTTATCATTAATAAACCATGCCAAACACATTTAATTCATTTAGGTAATCTCATGAAATTAACCCAATAATTATAAGCAATATAGTCGGTCATCCTCACCTTAAGTGAGCTTACGCGCGTTCTACGCTTCCCGATTGAGCTTTGACTAATTCCGGCGAACTTTGACCAACTCCGGCGAAGCTCAAAAATACTTTAATCAAGTTCCTAACAAGGTTTTAACATTATAAAACCTTAATCAATACAAATAACCTCTAAAAGGTTATTTTCCGGTTAAGTCCGTTCTTGGACTTAGAACCACTCTCCAACCCATTTTCTACATATTTGAATATGTAGAACCATAACAAGGGTTCATCTTATGCTATATAATCATATGGTAAAACAAAAGTAGAGGAAAAGTTAACATAAGGTCATTACCTTATTTCTTCCCACTTTTCCTAACTTCTTAACTCTTTAATCTTCCTCCTTGGACCCCTATTGTTTGAGCTCTCTTCAAGGATGGAAAAAGAAGGATGGAGGTTTTCTTTTTCTTGCTTGGGTTTGTGCTGGCCGAGAGAAAAATGAGGGAGATAGGGTGAGGATTTCCTTTTTGGCATTTTTGCCAAATGAGTGAAAATGGGTCCCAAGGTGTCAAGCTTGCCTCTCCCATCCCCTCAATGGTTTTCAGCCACTCTAGCATTCATTCAGCCCCCCCCCCCCCCCCCCCAAAGTTTGACAAAATCGTGGGTTGGCCCCTACTCATGTGGGAGGTCACCCCTTTTTGTCCAGAAGTGTACAATCGGTCCCGAAAGTTGTATTTTTCGAACACTTTTAAATATATTTTATTTTATCGGGTCAAATAAAATATTTTACGTGTTCATAATCATTATAACCCTTATAATGAATATACATTCCCCCACTTAAATTTATAAGTCTCCGAAATCCCAATTTCGGGCTTTTAACTATTAAATTACCAATACCGGTATTTGGGCCTCTTTTGATCAATCGGTCAACTCTGGGCCTTTCCATGGCTCAAACAAAATATCCACCACCATATAAATATTATCTAGACCAAGATGAATAGAATATATGGTTTCGGTGATACCGGGCGGTCCCCGCCCCCGGTGTGGGCCCCACGTGCGAATTTACTATTCACGCAAAAGAATTAATTAAATTCACAACTTCGTATTCTCATTAACCATTCCACAAGGTTCAATACATTATCCACTTAAAAGTAAATACATTTGGGGACGGTGTTACACTTATTTTATTCGCACTTTTTACATACCTCAATTTTTCTTAAAGAACTTATCATTCTTGTATGTACTAGGGATGGACTACGGTTGGGTTGGTCCGGGGCCGGGCGGTACTGGTTCTAGAAAATTGGAGCCCGGCACCAGCTCAGTATGCTCCGGTACCAATTCTGGTCCGGGCCTAAATAGTGTCGGGCCCGGGTCGGTACCACCGATTTAATTTTTTTTACACATTGCAACTGGGCTTGGATGGGCCCAAAAAGTCGACCCTGAAGCTCGCCTCTTGTAACCACCGGTACGTGTACCAGGTTGATATCGGGCCTGGAAAACTGGGTTGGTCTAGACCTAAACAGTACTGGCCCAGTCCATCCCTAGTATGTACCAATCTCAAGGTTTGAAGCCGAGGAAGGTTGTATTAGTTTTTAATGAGTGTTTAAACATTATTATTTGTACCAAAACATTATTGTTGAAATGTCAAAAAAGAAAAAGAAATTTATAGGGAAAACTGTCAATTTGGTCCTCGTACTTTCACAAAAAAAGTCAATTAGGTACTCGTACTTTAAAAAAAATCAATCAAAATCTCCGAACTTTGTAAAAACGTTCAATTGAGTACATTTGCAGGTTACTTCCCATGTCAGCAGGTCACTCGCTGACGTGGCGCAAACATGCCGGTCCACTTCTGTGACACGTCATCAACAAATGGCTGACTAAACTTCCACATGTGTGCCACAACAGCAAAGTTAATGCTGATTGGGCTGCTACATGTGCGCCATGTCAGGGGGTGACCTGCTGACATGACAAGTAACCTGCAAAAGGACCAAATTTATAATTCAAAGCACAAGTTGAAACACTATTATTTGGATCTCGAGTTGTTTTGAGAACAACAATGCGTAAGTTGTCGTTCTGTTTTTTTCAATTACACCTTTTGCCCCCCTAACTTTGTCTCATTTTACCTTTTTCGTCTGTCTCTTTAAGTTTATCTCATACCATATTTGGTAATATTTGAGTGACTACAATTTACTTTTACTTTATTTACACTTTATCAATTCAACATCAACCATACAATTCTGCTTTGTCTTAAGAACCACCCCACATCTCTTCATCCCAAACTTAGGGGGACGGAGGTAGTATATAAAAAGAAGTTCAAATTAATGGATACACCGTGTGGTAAATACTCGAATCAGTGCATTTTTGTCACATCTCATATTGATTAAATAGATTTACATGTAATATTTTGATCTAAAAAATATGCAAATATTATTTGGTCTTTTTAATGTTATTGATTTAAAAACGAGCTTCATTGGAATCTCTTCACCATTGTCAAGTTTCACACGAATTCAATGGGCTAAGAGCATCCGCAATGCCGGACTGTTTAGTCTGTGAAGAAGAGGCCAGATCAGTAAGCTAGACTATTGATGCCTCCAACAGAAGTAGTCCTATTTTGCTTTTGCTCAGGTGGCAATCACAATGGTTGGACAATGTCAAGGAAACTTTCCAAGTGTAGACAGTGTAGTAACTTGCTGACTAGGCAAAATCAACAAAAACAAGTTGGCTTTATCCGTTTATGGAGAAATACACAAAAACTAAAATCGTTTTATGCGGTTGGACTTTCCATCGTACCATTGGCTATACGGCTATACCATCTAACCATCCACACCGTACAGCTAACGGTTTTAGACTTTAGTTAGTTACACCCCAGGAAACGTGGAGGCCGCACGGAGGCTCCGGTAAGGTATACCTTACCGGAAGAGTTCCCTATATATGTGTGTGTATGTATATATATGCATCACAAAGACAACCAAAAGGCCAACAATTTAAGTTTAACATCATTAATAATATTAATGACTCCAACGTTTAGAAAACAAAATTGAATAATAGCTTTAACTTCTTAAGAGTTAAGGAAGAAATGCTACGGTTTCATTTTGTTTTCAAGTGTTTCAATGAAAAACATAATTAATGAATTAAATTCATTTACATAATTAATTAAAAATACTTAACTGTAAAAATCTTATCCATTTGAAATATTCCAAAATTTCCAACATAGACAAACACCACCGACGGCGGTTTATGGATGTGAGATAGATCTTTCGTGAAATGGTGAGAACAGAGTATGACGTTAGCTGATTTTCACTGCGTAGGGAACCTGCTATTTCAAACAATAAGTAATACGGACTTTACAGAGTACTACTGTACGGAGTATAATTTATTGTTATTTTTTAATAATCTATACTAATATAAAAAGGGAAACCAAGACATAAGTTAGTGCCTAAACGTTAGGATTGTTCAATAACTTCCAGCGGATGCAACTCAACATGTAATCATTTACGGGTGCTTCCAGTTAACCATCACGTAGTTTCCAAATTATTTATTTAAGTGCTTTCACCCAATAAAACAATTACTCCGTATTATTTAAGTGCAACTCATCATATCACTACTTTTTGTTTTTGAGAGGACCGCACTACATTATTTTGGTTACTTAATTACTTTCATTGGTTTATTCAAATTCAAATTGTTTTGGATACTTTTACAATCACCTTGATTTCATTGGTTTATCAATGAGATGAATAATTCCTGTATATGTGGGGTTTGAAGCTTTGATTGTCCACGACCAACAATAGAAGTACCCTGCAAAAAAGAAGATATCAAAGGCAGTTTGAGATAGATATATCTTCGTAAATTTACCGGTACACACTTAATGTTTATGGCATGTCGAAAATAAGATTTCTTCAAATCTCATACACGGTATGGTCTTATGATACATCTGATGCATAGTAGTAGATAGTGCAAAGTACAAATTATTCACTGATATGTTCTTTATTTGTCTTATAATCAGTACTCCCTCCGTCCCAAATTGAGTTGTAAAGTTGTTTTTTATCCAACGAATTGATTTTATTCACTTTATCAGGATCAATATTTAATTAAATTTTAATTTAGATTTTGCAACTTTAATTTATAGAGATTTTTAAAGTAGTTTTGGAATATGTAAATTTTAATTATTAAAATTGAATTGATTATCGATAGAGAAAATTTAACTTTAACATTACAATTTGCCCAAAAAAATGTTGACTTTGTAAAACAATTTGGGGCAGGGGTAATATTACAATTATAAAATTATGTGGTAAAATACCTTTCCATATAATAATATCGAATTATTTAGTAAATATATTTTACAAATTAAGAATATTTCTGAAAAAACTAAATTCTAAATGATCAGGCCAGTCTCACGAATAAACATCAGGTCTCAAAAAATAGATAGATGAGAATTGTAGCATAATAAACATGTAATGAAACAAAAAATAACTATTTAATTATACTCCTATATATTATGAGTGACCTACTAAGAAGAGAAAAACCTTTTCAACTAATTTAGGTCAAGTAACAAGACTATATATTCAAACTAAGGAAAATATAAAAGTAAAAATATCGTTAATGTGAAAATGATCTACTCCAGACACATATAAATTTAAATGTCTTAGAGAGATTGAGAGAAAGAGGAATTGAATGTCGGGCTAAAAGAATATGGGCCAATAAAAAAATTACAGAATACTAATACGGAGTAAATTCAAGCATACATAGTAATTGTGCGTGTAACCATCTCTTGATCCTCACGGCTTATACTTAAAATGATAAGATTGATAACAACGGAGTAGTAACAAACGATGCATGGACACATGTTTTTTTAAAAACAATGTGTAACTAAAATTTGTTTAACAAATATTTTTTTTAATTTTAAAGTTGTTTACCAAGTATTACAGAGTATTAATTATGAATATTAGTTTTTTTACTTTTGTATACAAATATTTTGTGGATGCTTTTTATAACCAGGGGCGTACCATCATAGTTAGGAGTGCTAATTTTGATTCTGACTCCTAAATTTTAATTTTGTCTAAAGTATTAGGGTAAAAAAATTTGTGTAAAAAGATTTTAAAAAAATCTTTGTGCCGATCCAAGTCAATATATTGTTTTAATTATGCCATTGATTTCAAGGTGGCACTATATATCCTGCAGCTATGAAACATACACAACTTCCTCGGTCAAAAAAGTTGGTCAAATTCATTTTTTAGCTGTCCCAAAAAGGTTTATCATTTTCATGTAAAGTAATTTATTTGTATTTGAAGTAGTCTTTCGATCTTTTATATAAATTTCAATCACACAATTTTTTATCAATATAAATGTCAATCAAATTTGGTCAAGTTAAGTGGACTGGAGGGGATATTAATGTCCCGTGCATCGCACGGGTATAATACTAGTAATAATAATATATCTAGCATCTAATTTCGTTCCTTAGACTAACATTGGAGACTTATTTCATAGTCCAATGACTCCAATGTTGTATTATGTGTATGTGAAAGTGCGCACTTTTGACTAGGGGTGGACTCGGGCCGGTTCGGGGCCGGTTTAGGCCTGGGCCCGGGCCCGGCCGGGCCTCGGTTCATGAAAGGGGAGGCCCGGAACCGGCCCAGGTAACCCCCGGGTCCGGGCCGGGCCTCTTCAATTTATATATTTTTTTGGCTTTTCCTAATTAACCCCCAACCCTCCCCCCTCACCCCCAAACCACCCCAAACCACCTCAAATGGTCCAAAATACTCAGCTCAACCCAAAAACTTAAAAAAAATTCAAAAACAAATGAAAAAAAAATGGCCCGGACCAGGCCCGAACCGGCCGGGCCGGTTCACCTTTTGAGGGGCCTGAGCTCGGACCGGAACCCCATTTTTATTTTATGATTGATCGATATAAACATCAACAGCTGCGAGTTGGATTGGTTTCTCCTCAACAAATAAGTTCTTGGAGAGTTCATTTTCATTACCACACGCTGAAGAAGTGATTGAGTTGGGGGTTAACGTCATGTTAGAGCAATACAAATTTCCCGTCTCATCCACCGCCCCTATCCTTTCAATTGATATATTCCCTTTTATTATCACTGTTGGAATATTTTTGAAGACGACTTGGTTCAAATTTTCCAGTAGTATTGCTGCTGTCTTTTTTGCAGCTTTTGTAGCTACCGGAACTATGTGGTATGGTTCGGCGACTACCCCAATTGAATTATTTGGCAATTAAAAAAGAAATGTTCGAGATTCAAAACAGAGTGTTCCGGATTCAAAAGAGAGTGTTCCAGAATTTTTAAAAAAGACGGGGTTTTTGGTTGACCCCCTTCTGCTGTCTATCAAACCAAACGTAGAATTTCTTATGTATCAAACCATAGTTCTTTCATTGGTTCATAAGAGTAAAGAAATTCTTAATCAAAAATACGTAAAACAACGAATAATTCGCGCTAAAGAGAACAATAATTGTGATCCGCTTCTTATTGAAAATATTTATGGAAAATATCCCACAGGGAGTTGAAGAATTACAAAAAGCTCTACAAAAAAATTAAATTTTGTAAACCGAAAACTGAATATTGCTATCACAAAAATTGAAAAACCGTATGGAAATCCTAATATTCTTGCCGAATTTATAGCTGGACAATTAAAGAATAGAGTTTCCTTTCGAAAAGCAATGAAAAAGGCTATTGAATTAGCTGAACAAGCAGATACAAAAGGAATTCAAGTACAAATTGCGGGACGCCTTGACGGAAAGGAAATTGTACGTGTGGAATGGATAAGAGAAGGAAGAGTTCCCCGACAAACTATTCAAGCTAAAATGAATTATTGTTGTTATTCAGCCTGAAATACAATCATGAAATTGAAAGTCCCAGAGATTCCTAGGGGCATACCATCATAAAAACTTCTCTGACCAATTGGATAGATTAAGAAAACTGCGGTAGCAGCTGCGGCCGGAGCGGAGTATGCAACCGCAATCCAAGGGCGCATACCCAAACGAAAACTAAGTTCCCACTCACGCCCCATATAAGAAGCTACACCAAGTAAGAAGTGTAGAACAATTAGTTCATAAGGACCACCATTATATAACCATTCATCAATGGATGCCGCTTCCCATATTGGGTAAAAATGTAATCCTATACTGGAAACACAGGAGAACGGTCCTTTGCTGATATTATTACTAGTATTAGCCGAAATGGCGGATTCCCCTGCTACACTCCAATAATTTATTAAAAAAAATTGAGAAACTTAACTAAGTTAATTGGATTTGCACCAATGGAAACCACTTTTCTTCCCTCAAATCTTTCCATTCTAGTAATAAAAAATGCTATTAATCAATTTGATACTATTGTTCCAATTATTACTATGTTTCTAGCGATTCATATGGCATCATAGTTTGCCTCAATTTGGTACCGCTCTCGAAAATTAGTTCGCGTAGAAAGGGCAGACGTAGTGGTTCACGTCAGAATGCACGTAGAATACCAAAAGGTATTTGATGGAAGAACGGGTAATACTTTTACTACTTATATGCTTTCAGCAGTTATCCGCTCCGCACTTGAATCTTTTAGATTGCTCGTTCGAGAACTACGATCTTTAGCTCTGGAACTGAATTATTCAGAATTCAGAAGAACTGCGTGGGAGGTCTAGTGAAAAACTAGAAAAAGCTGAATCCATGGGCAGGAAAGAGACAACCTGGTGAAATTTTTGTGGTCCAAATTAATTCATTATTAGCAAATAATCTCAAACTCTATTCATGTATTAACGAAAATGTGCAGCCGAGAGAGGGCAGTCTTTAGAAACAACAGGTTAATTTTTGAAGAGCCTAAGACTCTCAAAGATAAGACTACAAACAAACCGATCCTTTTGGTCCGGAATATCTTTTTTCAAAAGGGCTTCTGCTTCATCGGTAAATGTATTAGTAGATGATATGATTTCTTTAAGCAAATTCAAATTTTCTCGTTTTATTTCAGGCTTATTTTTGTACTTGTTGTTTTATTTTCAAATTATTTCCGCTTTTTCTCCTGTCGTTGTCGGAATTAGTCGTAATAAGATATTCGCGACAATTGAAAAGGTTTTATCAATAAAATTTTTGTATCCATTGAGCAAATACAGGTTGTAATTTTATAGCAGTATCTGAAAAAAATTGTTTTTCTCAAGTGAACCTTCTCTAGTCAAAAAATTACATTTTTTATTATTTGCTTACATAATATCAAAATTCCTCTTAAAAGTGTTCTTTTAGTTCAAAACGAGCAATATGTAGAATCCGAACAAATTATTGCTGAAATATTCTTATCCGCCGATCTATTTAATGAAAAATTAACTGAAAAGAGGTGTAACCCCCTTCTCAAAATACTTCAATTGGTACACGTAAAAAATAGGCCAATTCGGGCTTGAGAAATGGCCAGGTCTGGACCATTCCTCAAAAAATGTTTTTACAGGGTCCCTATCCACTAAAATTTTGGCTTCTGGTTCCGGCGAAATTTTTTCACCAAAGATGTGAATTAGGACGGCTTGGTCGACGAAAGATTTTTTGATTTGTTTCTATTAAAAATGACAAGATCCAATTGAATTACCCGACCAATTACTGTTTGGATAAAAATACTTTCTGGCGCCATTCTATGAGTCTCTTCCTTTTTGCGTACGGCAGCGCCACTCCCTTAATAATCCAATTTGAAGATTGATTGTTGCACCAATGCCCAACCAAATGGTCACTCCAGTACCAATCAAAAACACTTAATTTAGCGGCTCTTTCCAAAAGACGTGAGTGCAAATAAAAGGGTCTCGACCAGACCCTAGAAAATCCTTGGATAGCTTCTTCAATTTCACAATTAAATTAAAAATGTGTTCCAACGGAGTGCTTCTTTTGGTGTTAAACTTCCATTTGTCCATATTTCCAAAAAAAGTAATGAAAGTAGATTTTTCTTTCTTTCATTTCAAAACACTACTGCCTCAAATACAGTATATGGAAGTACCGCTTGCGGTGCCCCCTCACAAAAGGAAGGGGGTCGCAGTGACCACTCCCTCAAAGCTCGAGAAACAAAGACAAGATCCTAGTTACGATCTTTCTATCCGGTTTACTTGTTAGTTTTACTGGGTAAGGAAACGTAAAACTAAAAAAACAAATTGAATGAGGTCTTTTCTATACACCGGAGCCCTTCACTAATATTGAAGGGGGCTAAAAGATCTACTACTCCATAAAATTTGGTTATCTTACTTACTAGAGATGATTTTCTTCGTCAGATATAGATTCGAGTTCCATAAAGGCCATGAACAATTGCTCCTGGGGGGGGGGGGGGGGGGGCTAAATAAGGCTTAGCTGATCGTATTACTACAGAGTCAAGTTTGACAAGCTTCTTTGATAACAGCAACAATAATGTCACCAATATAAGCATATCGACGATTTATTACTCTACTAATAAATCCTTTCATGGCAGTCCCGTAATTAAATCATTATCACAAAATCCTAAATCTTTATAAATAAAGGTAATTATAAATTCCCAACCGCGGGGTGAATGGAATCCGATAAAGAAATCAGTTAATAAGAGAATCCAAACTTGTATCATCAATCCGTCACCCATTAATACAACACCAACATTGGTGGAAGAAAAAAGAAGAAATATTATACAAGAAATCAACTTGACAGAAATGAATCCAATGACTTGTTCAGGGCCTTGGCTTGTCACATTAGTTTTACTCTGAATAATCCTCCCTTTGCTGGATTATTACCGATATAATCATAAAAAGCCAATTTTTCCGGAATTTTCGACTAATCTTATAGATTTACATAAATTGAGCAGTAAATGAAACTAGGGATCATCAATCCAATTTGCCTTCACGTTTTCTCTTTTTCTTATCAATGAATTTTAGGTTGATGGATCATTACCCTAGCGTGAGGGAATGCTAGATTTTTGTTTCAGAAGAGGAAGATATCAAATTTGATCAACCATTAACGAATAAAGCGCAAGGAGATTTTACTCGTTGGTGTCAATTAGGAGATTTGTGGACTTTTGTTGCTCTCCACCCTTCGGATCCGAGAATCCACAAATTCAACTCCCAACTTATTCAATATATCTTACAAGTCACACTATATATCAATCCACTTTCTTTTTTCGTTACGTTTTCTTACGAGCATGTTGGTTAACCGTATTTTGAAACACAGAAAAAAATCATTAGCTTATCAAATTATCTTATTACGCGATGATTTTGTTGAACAAGACCGAAGTCGTGAGGGTCTTAACAAGGTAATTCCTATCCGATCAAATAAACAAAACAAATTAGAGGAATGCTGCCAAGAAAAATGAAATCTTTAGACCATTCAGGAGTTTGAAATAAAGACTAATCTTTGATTTCTTTAAGTGTGTTCAACATGCGGATATTCCTTATTGATGTGTCAATTTTGTGAAATCTCTTAGGACTCACATAAACCCCGCGAACAGTGCAACAATCGGTCCAAATAATTGGTCTGGTACTAGATGTAGCTTTTCGCCCTGGCAAGATGCCCATCAATTCCTAATGAAATGGATACAGTAGTCGCTTGTTGAAAACCCAGAGTTTTTACTTGATCCAGGATATAAAAAAGAGAGAGTTTCGTCGTTTGTGGATCACTCGACTAAGTTGCAAACAACATTGGACCATAATATTATTTATTATAATTTGGAACCAGATTTATCTTAAGGAGATATTACGATGAACAATTGGGAGGACTCTAAAGAAAAGACACCCTCGGTACAATATCGATGAAGAAATTCTTTCTGGGGATCCGATTCAATTTGATATTCCATTTGATGAAGACTCTTCTAAACAAATGATTTCTGAGTGCCTTGCGCTTGTTACACAACAACCCCTTAGAGGAAGAGCGAAACAGGGGGTAGAGTTATATAAAACGACTATTCCATCTATTGCTATTGTAATCTGAAAAGAACTTCCAGATTCATAGGAAGGAAGCTTAATCTAATCCGAACTAATAAAAATTTTTATTTTATGATCAGACCATTCAGGAGTTTGAAATAGTAGCATACGCCCTATATTTTACCCAATTATGAATGAAGGTAATGATTCTGCTACTAATAAAGATGCTCATTTCTTAAAATATCCTATATACGCGGGTGGAAACAAGGGATCTGAACTACTCAGTTGCAAATAATCTTCACACCCCGCTATTTATATTAATATAAAAGATATGGATTAGTTTCGTCTTTCGTTTGGATATTGTGCGGATAGCGGGAATCGAACCCGCATCTTCTCCTTGGCAAAGAGACATTTTTGCTATGAATGCATAAGCAGGTAAAGAGTACATATGTTGCGCTACTAAGGAAGTAATACTGCGAGTTGGATTGGTTTCTCCTCAACAAATAAGTCTAATTTTTGAAATTTGAAATAATTTGAGTTACGTATTTTTAGAGATTTTAATGAATTTGAAAGAAATTGTATTGAGGAGCAATCAATATGGAACTTCGGCGTAATAATATCTCGACGTTTGCAGCGATAACTGGGTATATTGACTATACGATCATTCACTAAAATATGTCGATCACAAAGGAGTTTTTTGAACGTATCTAATTTGATGTCCCAATGACTATAGATCGAACCTATCCAATTTTCGGAGAAAATCCTAAAAAAAAATTAGGACCCAATCTTGCAAGAACGGACTAAAAATCGGGTTCTCAAAAAGAATTTCTTCAGAAGAGTCTTCTTTCACTTCTTTCAATGGAATATCAAACGGAATCGTTTTTTATTTTGTGCCGAAGCAATTTATAAATCACAGGGAGAGTGGGCGCTCTATTCAGCAATACAGGATGCCCTTGCACAACTTCTTGAAGTATTTCCCATACAAGTGATTCTTTTTGTATCACGGCAATAATGAGCCAAAGAAGTATTTGCAATGAATCCCCTGTTAAGTAGTCATGCATCATTAAATCAATATCAACTTGATTTTTGCATTCTTGATTTTTGCCTTTTGGAAACCTCACTCCTTATACAGGAGCAGCTATGGCTGAATATTGGAAACCTCGCTCCTTATACAGGAGCAGCTATGGCTGAATATTTTATGTATCGACGATTCAGCCAAAGTCCAGGCCTACTTTTGACCATACATGAATTTAACAGTCAAAATTTTCACGAAGAAAACCATTTCAATGTTGA